GGTCAGATCTAATCTATCAGGCACAATCTATACTACATTACAATTTTTATTCCCTCTGTGCTTTTGGCAGATAACACACATAGGGTGTAGCATATCAACTCCTTGATTTTAAATAAATGACCATAAAGAATAATTGCTACACTCTAGGGATCTTATGGATGATGAAAACTACCTATGAGAGGTATGGCTTTGTGTTTTTGAGGGACAGTTGTAAATAGGATCTAACACAAAACAAAACAAAAGAGGAAAAGTTTTTGGAATAAGAATATTCCCTCTTAATTTTGGCCTTTAGTTAGGTTGTAGTGCTTGCAATTCATTTGAATAAAAATCTCCTTCAAAATAAAATGAAAAAATCCAAAATAAACCACAAAAAAAAAAATTACAGGAAGAGTCAAAGAGTATATATGCATGTGTTTACACCTTTCTGTCCGTGTAGGGGTTGTGTACAAAGAAGATAATTTGAGTTACCCCATCTGGTTTATTTCATCAGACTTCTTTAAGACATAGGGCTGCTGTGATCACTTTCTTAGCTCTTTCTGTCTAGTGTTTCGATTTGTTTTTAAACTACATCAGGGATTGAAAGAAAATTCACTTCAGAAATACATGCTTTTCCCTCTGTTTCCCTGAAATGGCAGATGACAATGCTCAAAGAGCAATAAATCTATGTAAGCAGAAAGGAAGTAACATAAACATAAGATATATTTTTCCAGTCCACCTTGCTCTTGGAGGGTAGAAGAGCATTAAAATGGCTCTTTCTACAGATACTTTTTAGTAGGGCTGTGCGAAGCTTCAGTCCCTGATTAGATTCAGTGGAGATTTGGCCCGATTCAGTGGCCGAATCTCCAAATCCAAATCGAATCAGAGGACCCTTTAGTCTCTCCAAATTGCATCAGAACTCTCCGAATCGATTCGGAGAGATTCAGAAAGATTTGACAATTCAGATAGACGCAGTTTAAATGTTTTTTCTACATACCTCTAGGTAGCAGGGGCTCATGGATGCTGCAGTGCTGGAGCACATGGAGTGTCCCACAGGAGCACAGCATGCTCAGCAGCAGACCCAGAAGTGGACCAGAAGTACTTCCAGTCCACTTCAAGGTCCGCTGGAGAGCGCACTGGGCAATGCCCACTCCCCCAGCTTGGCGACTGGTGCTTCCTGGGTCTGGGGAGGCACCTGGGGTCCCTCAGTGGCTGATCACCAAGCCAGGGGGGCCTCCCAGCATGCTCCCTGGCGGACCCAGAAGTGGACCGGAAGTAGTTCCGGTCCACTTCCAGGTTTGCCACCAAGCACATGGAGGGCCCCCCGCACTCCTGTGGGATGCTCCATCCACCTCAGCATCTCAGCGTTCACAAGCCATGCTGGTACCTTGAGGTATGTAGAAAAAATATTTAAAGCTGTCTCTGTGTCCAAATCGCTGATTCTCTGAATCAGCATTGAATCTTCAGATTCGGATCTGGCCAAATTGAATCAGGGACAGTGATCTGAATCAACTAATTGAATCGCTGTCCCTGCTTCGGGCAAAACAGAATCGGATAGGGCCCACTTTGCACACTCCTACTTTTTAGTACAGAGGTGAGTAAAAAGGAGTACATACATTTAAAAACATAATCAAACACTTTAAAACAAACTTCAAATTAATTAACAAAGACCCAGGTTAGTTCTTATTTTGGAGGCACCAGTAATTTCTTTTCAAAGACAAACAGAAACTTGGAAATAACCTTTATATTTTGCATGTTTTGCACAGTATTTTGGAGACCAAATGTCTCCCTTCCTTCCCTTCTCATCTCCCACAAAATATTTAACTTTTTAATATGTATTTTACTGTTTTTATATAAACAGATTTTTGTTCTTGTCTTTTCTCTCTCTCTCTCTTTTAAAAAAACAACAATTTTAAAACTTTTCTTTAAGGAATGGTTGTATGACTTCAAGTGCAAAACAGAATTGCTAATAAAAGACAAATACAAAACATACAGGCTCCAAATGCCTAAATCTGTTATGTGCAAGGAGGAAGGACTTGCACCACAATTTTGCATTCTCAGAAATTTATTAAAATGAACCTAGGAAATTTAAAAAAGCATGATTTGTTCAAAGACAAATAGCATCAGATGACAGAAATATTATACATAATTCTTGGGTAACCCTTGGTAGAAAAAATCAGTTAAAGAAAGAAAACAGTGGTATAAACTATACAAAATTAGGTATCCAGTAAATATGAATGCTTTAATGTATCCTCATGAGAGGATAAGTACATTGGAGTCATTTTAGATACAAAATATTTTTTTATTTTGTATCGTTTTAGTCAGGAATAGTCATCTAGCAAAAACAAAGGTATACTCTGACCTACAGACAAACTCAATCATGAGTACTGGCTGCAACAAACTGACCCAGGCCAATTAATTAGATACTTGCAATTTGCAATGTGTGTCAGATTTCAGCTGCTTCAGACAGCTATCTTGGAACAGATCTACAGAACAAACTGCAAGCTAACTGGATTACAATATTTCCATTTCCCACTCTCCTGGGTTGTCTTCATAGGCAACCCCAATACTGTTAAGGCATTTGCCAACTAGTTTTTGTTCTTTTGTCAGTGACTGTGTAGGAAGTTTTGACCATTTACTTCCAAATTTCTAGCACAGTAACAGCAGTAGGTGAGCCACATGGCTCCTGAAGAGAGACTGTCTCAGAGTACTGCGTTAAACTGGTATGAAAGAGTTTTCAAAAGTGGTGGCACTTGAAAATACAGTAGGGCTAGAATGCGTGATTAACCAAGCTTTTGTGTGTCAAGTTTTCAGGATCTCACACAACAAGGCAGATAAATCTGAAAAGGAGAGGGGCACTTTAGGCTAGGTGCAGATGTTCGGGGATGTTAGGGGGAGGTTAGATTGCATTAAAAATGGCCACCCGATCTAACTTAGTTCACCCAGCTGTGAACTGTACATTTAGATTGACCTAACTAGGGATCTAAGTGGAAACTGTACAGAAGTTCAGTAAATTTATATCAGTGTAGAGACTGATTTAACTGAACTTTTGTACAGTTTTCAACCCAGGGGCTGAAGTGGTGGAAATGCAACCCATCACAGCTCATTGCTTGTGGCCCTCCAAGGTAGTCTCCAGCCTCTTTAGTTCTTTACCACAGACCCTCAGGTGAGATATCAGTATCTCACTGTCAACAGACAAACACTGCAGAGGGAACCTACAGGATGAGCATAGATGTGCCCAGTGCAAATGAAGTGGACTCCACATTAGTAACAATTATAATATGCAGCACTTCCAGGATACCATTTATCCACAGATCTCAAAGGCTAGGGACGGACATTCAAAAAGCCTGAGCCTGAATTGATTCAATCATTGCAGGTTAGTTTAACCTGACTAGGTTGAACCAGTTTGGAACCATACAGACGTTCCCTCTGGGCTGAAGAAATGCAGGGACATGCTGCAGTGGCTGAAGCTAGAACTGGGGGGGGCACAAGAGCAGCCCTCCCTTCCCTTCCATAGTGCTGAGCTGAGAGGATGTGTGGCCAGGTCCCAGCAGGATGCTCTCATTAGCGAGGGGTGTAAACCCCCTCCCTGCCTGCACAGGTCCAGGCTTTTCCCTGCTCACTGCTCAAGGGGAAGGAGTGTTGCTAGACCCTGGGTCCCAGCTAGCACTCTGAGGCAAAGTGGGGTGTGTAGTGCATGCATCTGTTGATGTTACTGAACTTTTCAATATACCTCTCCCTGCTGCTTCATACTGCCTTAAAACCTGATAGGTGAGGAGCTAGCAGGGAGCGGATAACATAGCGCTTAGCAGCCCATCAAGAAAACAAAGGCCTCTCTCATTAGTTCAAGCTCTTCTTAAACAGCTTTTTCAAAGGAAGGAATGGAGGGACATTACCAGCCAGTCTGTTGATTAGCTCCAAAAAACCCTAAGTGGACACTGTTCTGTCTACTTGTCCCAGTGAAATTGGAGACACACAAACACCTCTCAGCATTAGCTAGCATACCACATGCCTAGGATTCATGGGGCTGGGGTCCATGTTGTGGGAGATGGGGGAGGGGAGGGAAGCCCTGCTTGAGTAGCGAGTGGGGGGGGCAGGGGGAAGCCAGGCAGACCCTGCTGTGCCTGCAGTCTGCCACGGACCTCTGGCTAGGGAGCAGAGGGGTAGGGCCAACGCTGCTTTCTGGAGCAGACAACACAGCCCGGGGCTGCAAAGCATCTGGAATGCTGGGAGAGTTTGATTTATCTTAAACCAAAAAGGGGTCTGGGACATGCATTGCATAAACCAGTTTGACGCAAATCAGTTAAGTCTAATACTACATTCAACTAGGTTTACCTTAAACCAGTTTCAGCCATTTTGAAACTGGTTTATGTGCGCTGAGCTTCTGTTCTGTTACAGGTTTAACCAATTTCTGATCTCTTAAACCTGTTTGTGTGTAATGTCTGTCCCTAGCCAAAGTACTTTACAATGCACTGCTTTTGTCTTTAAAAAGTGGAACCTGATTGTATCTGATATATTTTATCTTTTACTTAAATTTTACTATACCTAGTTATTTTGGTTAGTTCTGACATCTAGTTATAGTCTCAAAATTAGTTTGGATTAAAAAATAATTTGCATAATTTGTCCATTATTTTTTAAGCCTAGTAATTTGTTAACCCAATAAAATAATTAAAGCCTGGGCAAGAGAGAAAACAAGGACAACTGTGAAATTAACTATTTGAGTATGTGGAATAACAGGGAAAAATTACCTTTTGTTTAAGCATTGCCAGACTTTATTAGTAGTCTGTGCTACACCACTGGTACATTTTTAATAACTGGTTATAGAATATCTGCCACACATTTATCTTTATGCAGAGTTATGTGTACAAAGCCCATAAATACTAGTATAAAGAATATACCACTGAACACATTTTTTCTTATTAACATACAAAATTACTTGCTTGAGAGTTAGATGACATTTTTTTTAAAGTAACATCTGTGATACTATTTAAATTTTAATAATGCCAACAATTTTCTTTCAACAGAGGAATTCAAGGGCTCAACAATAGTTGAATTAATGAAAAAAGAAGGCACCACCCTGGGGCTTACAGTATCGGGCGGAATTGACAAGGATGGGAAACCAAGGGTATCTAACCTTCGTCAAGGAGGAATTGCTGCTAGGTAACCACATCTCCAGCCACAAAATACATTATAAGATGTGATTGCTTCAAAAATACATACTGCATCAAAAAGGTCACTAATAAATAACTGACTAACAGCATCTGAAAAGCAGCACATCAGAAAAGAGACAACGAGACATTTTAATAGAAAGAAACATGTAAATAGCATTCAGGCCGCTGCTTCTCACAAAGCTGTTTTGATACAAGCCAGAAATACTAGCAATGTATTTGAAAGTCATTGAAGAAATAATTTTTTATAAATGTTTTAAATTTGATTCTTTTTTTTTTTTTTTTTTGCTTGACCAAAATCTATAAAAATGCATTGGTGATAAATGGTGAAGGCAAAACAGCAGTAGAAAAGCTGAAATATGACACCATACTTTCAAATGACTGCTGCTGATTCATTTAATGTTTAAAATTAAAAATAGTTGCTTGTACAGGGAAAGCCGGACAAGCTGTTACTTGAGAAAGAATCTGGTTGAGAGACAGATGTTAAGGCAAATCATTCCAAGTGACTGAGCAGAATATGTGCCATTGGACTGTGCCACATTTACTATAATTGTTATATTGGCTGGGAAAGTAATGACTTTGTCCAGAAAATAGTTCTGGCAGTAGCCCAAACAAACACAGGTGAGAGGTTCCAGGTTAAAAGAGGACAGCTAGGAAGTGAAGTCCTTCCAGATGTAGTTAAATGAATTGTACTGTAACTAGCAAGCTGGCATATTCAGCAGCTTTTCTTACCTAGATGGTAATGCTCTAATAACATACTTTTTTTTATATTCCAGAAGTAGATTAGACTAAAATCTTGAAAAGTCACCATACTATTTGCATGATTCACACAGGAAGTTTTTTTGCTTGTTTGAATTTAGATGCAAGCAAGATTGATTTTTTTATCAGCGCTGAAAGTGTCATTGAAAGGAACTTGGCTAACCTGTCACAGTCTCACAAGTTTACTAAAGAGATAATGTGCCTATTGCAGAAGTGACCAGCTGGATGTAGGGGACTACATCAGATCTGTGAATGGAATCAACCTGACCAAGTTTCGCCATGATGAGATCATCAGCCTGCTCAAGAACGTTGGCGAGAGGGTTGTTTTAGAAGTGGAATATGAGCTCCCTCCAGTCTGTAAGTAACACGAGTAGTTGAAAATCCCTTACATGTGTAATAATAGAATACTGTCTCTCTCACTTGCTCTTGGTCTCTCTACCTTATGATATAAGGTTTCTTAACTTAGACTCATAGAAAATTAGGGTTGGAAGGGACCTCAGGAGGTAATCTAGGTCAACCCCCTACCCAGAGTAGGACCATCCCCACTTATATTATCCCAGCCAAGGCTTTGTCTATTTGGGTAACCTGTTCCAGTGCTTTACTTAAAGGATGGAATCTTAAGGTCCCTTCCAGCCTTCTTTCTCTATGAACACTAATGCAGTGTGAGCTTTATATATAATAAAACTGAGAAATAATATAACTTGTTTTTTCCTGTTGTTGTTGTCAAATGCAGGACTATTTATGGTTGCATTTTCAAAAGTGCTTGAATGAAGTCCCATGTGAGTCCATTTATGTGTACGGGCAATGCAAAGAGTGTATGCCTATTTATCATTCACTCTT